GATGAAAATTTACATTAAAAAAATATTTTACTTTTTTTGGAGATGGAGTGGGGGATGGCTGCTTGTCTACACCCCCCCCCCCCCCCCAAACTCCCTCCCCTCCCCTCTGAGGAGGAGAGGAGAGGGGTCTTCCAAACGGTTCCTGGTGACAAAAACCAAGACGTTGCTCTCGGTGTCTTATAGCTTCTTAGCGGGCAGCCCGCGAGAGGGCCGGCGGTGCGGCTTCAGGAAGCGCTCGCCTGTCTTTCTCCACATCATTGTATGATCGTAAAGAAGTTTTAATTACCTTGACTCTCATTTCCTGTCCCAGTCCCCCTCTCCCTCTCCCTCTCCCCCTCCCTCCCCGCACGCTCCCTCCCAGATGGGTTGCTTTGAAGTGCTAACAACCCCCTCTTCACTTTGAACTGTGGAAACAATGCTCCCGCGCCGCGCTCACCTTCCCCATCTCGGCTCATTTACATAGACCTGGCGCTCCGGCGAATACCCGCGGAAACAAACACGGGGTCCCCCGCGGTCATGAGGCAAGCTCTCGGGCTCCGGCGGCCCCGCCCCGCCCCGCCGCTCGGTCCTGTTGGGCCGGACTTGGGCTATCCTCCCCGCCCCGGTCCGGTTCGGTCCGTCGCTGCGCCCCGGCTCCGGGACCTGGGGGGGGGTAAGAGTTCGGTTTCTGGATCTTTGCCCTCTCGAAACGCCGCCACCTTTTCTGCTTTAGAATCAAATGAAAACGAACGATGCTAAGAGCTGATTGTTGTTGTTTTTTTTTAAACGGAATATTTTTTGACTGCTCAGGGTGATGCTTCTACTACACTGCTACTACTGTACCACTAGGAGTGGTTCTACCTTGTAGCCAGATCTCAGCTGCTCAGCAGGCCGGGCCTGACTGGGCCGGGTCAGTACCGGGTTTAGTACCCTGGCTGGGAGATCTCAGATGAAAAACAGGTTGCGGCTGTAAGTGGTGGACCAGTAGCTGGTGCTCTTTCTGGATCTTTGGGATGAGGTGATAAACTGAGGTGCCGAGTGCTAAAGTCCACTCTGGTCCTGGTCACTCTTGGTCCACCGGGTCAGTGCATTCGCACCCTGTAGCTTGAATGGGTCAGACCTCGGAGGATCAGCATAGCTGGTCCGGGTCACTACTGGGTCAGTACGGGACACCTCCGTGGGGGTGTCACCCCGGTGTCCTGGATAAACCCCACTCTGCTCCTGCACAGT